GGAGAGGGGAGGGAAGGGGAGGGGGGATAGTAGAGGATAGGAAAGGCAGTAGAATACAACAGACACTAGTATGGCAGTATGTAAAAAAGTGGATGTGGAACCGATGTGAATCTGCAATATGTATACGGGGTAAAAATGGGAGTTCATAATCTGCTTGAATCAAATGTATGAAATATGATTAGTCAAGAGCTTTGTAATGTTTTGAACAACTAATAATAATAAAAAAATCTTTATTGTGGTAAAATATATATCAAATTTACTATTTTAACTATTTAAAAAATTTTTACTTGTCAATGAACTTTTTAAAGATTTATTTTATATGTGGTGCTGAGAAACAAACCTAGAGCTTTACATATGCTAGGCAAGTACTCTACCACAGAGCTATAATCCCAGCCCTTAACTATTGTTTAAAAATGCAATTCAGTTTCATTCGGACTGATGGAACCATTGCCAGCATCTCCAGAGCTTTTTTATCTTCCCAAACTGAAATCTCATACCCATTAAACAATAACGCCTCTTCTGATGAATTGATGTTTATTTAGATTTTCACTTCAATTTGTTGAGGGATCTGGATTTTAGCTTCTTGATGTGTTTCTTCATGTTTAATTCTTCTACAAATGATGATTTATATTCTGAACAGCTTTTTTTTTTAAAGAGAGAGAGAGGTAGAGAGAGAGAATTTTAATATTTATTTTTTAATTATTGGCAGACACAACATCTTTGTTGGTATGTGGTGCTGAGGATCGAACCCGGCCTGCACGCATGCCAGGCAAGCGCGATACCGCTTGAGCCACATCCCCAGCCCCTGAACAGTTCTTTTTGAACTCCTGCATGATTGTATTTTTGTATTTTTGTTTGTTGCTTTATTCCAATTGCTAGTTGTTTTTTTTTTTTTTAAAGCCTAGAGCACCAGGCCCAACCCTGTTTAGCTTCTGAGATAGAGGAAATAGGACATGTTCAGGGTAGGATGGCTGTAGACGTACTTTTTTTCTCTACTTTTTCTTTTAGCTTCCATAAATTGTGGATTGATTCTTTAAGTAATTAAAATATTTGAGGTTATGGCAGTAATAGTCTGTTATCTTTCAAACTGCCAGGCAGAAAATTATAACTTGATCAGAAGAAATCTATATATATGATCTTCCACAGTCAGGTAAAGTGAGTCACTTCACAAAATCTCTGCTGCATCTAGGAGCCTAACTGTTGCCCCACTACTGGGGATTGAACCCAGGGGCATTCTACCACTGAGCTATATATCCTGGGCCTTTTTTATTTTGAGACAAAGTCTTAACAGAATTGCCCAGGCTCTTCTTGAATCCTCCTTCCTTAGACTACAAAATTACTGGGATGATAGCCTAGAGTGACAGTGCCCTGGGGGCTAGCAGGGAGCCTAATCTTTGTGATAGAACACCTTCTTTTTCCTTTCATGATAGAGCTTTAGGCTTGATTAGATTTATACTAGCCTTTTTTTTTTTTTAATGTAGATTTATACTGCCCCCTGCGGCCTTTTTTTTTTTTTTTTTTTTTAATGTTTGGCCTCAAACTGCTGAGCTCAAGTGAGCCTCCTGAGTAGCTGGGACTGCAGTTGCATGCTACTTTCTCAATTTAGGTTTTTTGTTTTTTTATTTTTGTTTTTAAGATAAGAATATTTCACAGATTTACAGTTTTCTTGATGGCCCCACATCCTATTTTTTTCTTTTAATTGTAGTTTGCTTACATACCCCTTACAGTTTTGAGGGGAAGTCATTAGAAAGTTCCCCATCAAGCTTTTACATAGTGAATTTATTAGCACATCCTTTGGTGATTTAATGATCATGACCATGACTTTTAGACTACTTTTGAAGCTGAGACCATTTTCTGCCAAATATAAAACTAGGGATTTTCATACAGAGGAAGTCAGTCTCTTCATCATCATTATCTTCTTATTTTCTTTAACTACATGAGGTATTCTCTTTAATTTTTAAAAATTTTTTAGTTGGACACAATACCTTTATTTTATTTTTTTATGTGGTACTGAGGATCGGACCTAGGGCCTCTCAAGTGCTAGGGGAGCACTCTACCACTGCACCACCATCTCAGCCCCTACATGAGACATTTTCAAGCTAATTTTTTTGGGTAGTGGGGTGGGATACCGGGGATTGAACTCAGGGGTGTTATGGCGAAATCGCAATAAATCACTGAGTCTGTCTGAAAGCAGGAGATGGAACATTTATTCACCATCTGGTGGTCCAGATTCACCAGCTGGAAGGCCAAGGGACAGGCTGTAAGTCTATACCCTTTGACCCCCTTCAAGGGTTAGAGCACACCTTTGTATTTCAAAACCACATAAATCACAAGTGGCTGTTGCTCTGATTCAAAACCATAAACAAACACTATGAGATCTAAAATCATAAGCAGAAAGGGTAGTGGGTCAAACGATCCTAGTTGAATACAAGTTAAAGAATAATTACTAATGTCTAGACAATCAATTTCTGTCAGGGTACATTGTCCAAGAAAAATGGGAACCAAAAAGAACAATTTTACTTTGTATAAGAATTGCCATTTTGTGGGGCTGGGGTTTTGGCTCAGCCGTAGAGCGCTTGCCTAGCATGTGGTGATGCCCTGGGTTCGATTTTATTTTAAAAAATAAATAAATAAATAAATAAAATAAAGCTACTGTGTCCAACTACAACTAAAAAAATTTTAAAAAAAATTGCCATTTTGTGTTGCCAAACATGCTATGCCAAGCAACTGTTGATGGGTACTGAGGTGGGGTGTTCCCATGGGAGAAACATTTCTTACATAACATGGAGTCTCAGGGTACAATGGAGTCTGGTCATTGCCCCTATAGCCTGGCCCATAACAGGGGCACTCAAGCATGAGCCACATTCCCCAGCCCTATTTTATATTTTATTTAGAGACAGAGTCTCCCTGAGTTTCTTAGCATCTCACTTTTGATGAGGCTGGCTTTGAACTCCTGATCTTCCTGCCCCAGCCTCCTGAGTGGCTGGGATTACAGGTGTGCGCCACAGCTCCCAGCAAAGTCAGTTTTCTTAATATAAAAATGATCTTATATATCTAGTGTAATCTTTTCAGATATAAGGGTAAGGCTAAAAATATTTGTCTGGTCTGTTATAGAAAAGATTTGCTAATCTCTAATCTTCTGTATTGCTGTTTCATATAAGTGACCCGTTTTCCTGTACCCTATTTGTTTACCTAGGCTTTTGCCTTTTTGCAGTTTCTATTTGTTCTCTGCATTAAAATAAATTTACAACATTAAAAAAACTCAAGAGGGTCTGTGTCAGAGATTATTGTGGTTTGTGTCAATATTTGTTGAGTGTGTTTTTACAGGATTGTTCATTTAACACTTTTTTCCCAGTTAAAGATTCTTCACTGACCATCTCTAGGGAGGAGATACAAACCTGCAGAATGTAGAAAAGCAGAAAACTAATATTATAGAAACTACTTGTCAGTAAATAAGGAGTGGCTTTGCTGATTTGCCTTTTCTTTTATTTATTTATTTTTTTAAAAAACTTTTTTAAAAAAATATTTATTTATTTATTTTTAGTTTTTCAGCGGACACAACATCTTTGTTTGTATGTGGTGCTGAGGATCGAACCCAGGCTGCACGCATGCCAGGCGAGCGCGCTACCACTTGAGCCACATCCCCAGCCCTTTTTAAAAAACTTTTTAAAATTTTAGTTGTACATGGACACAGTGCCTTTATTTTATTTTATTTATGAGTGCTGACGATTGAACCCAGTACCCCACGCATGCGAGGTAAGCACTGTACCACTGAGCCACAACCCTAGCTCTGCCCCTTTTTTTTAAAAAATTATTTATTTAACTGAATTTTTCTATTTTTTTTGCTAGCTGAGAATGAAGTATTTGTGGTCTGTGGCTCTTCATATAATTGGTGTCTTTGAAGCTTTAAATAACCTTGAAAATAAAAGGAAAGTGATTTTTTGTCTTTGTTTTTTAGAAAATCTCAAAATTGTTTAGGAGAAACATTGCTTTAATCACTTTTTCCCTTTTTGTAACTCATATATTTTTTCCCTTAGGATGTCTGGAAAATATTTGTGTTGGAATGTAATAATTTACCACTACTTTATTTTCTCTGATACTTCCTAGTAACATAAAAACCATATTTTGTTTTTGTTTTTGTTTTTGGTTAGTGGCTCACAGAAGAGATGAAATGTGGTCTGAGGGACGATATGACTATGAAAGACTTCCAAGAGAACGAGTACCTCCTCGGAGTCACCCCAATGTAAGTTACTCTTACATATAGAATAATTCAGAACCTAGTGTCTTAATCTGATACATCAAAGCTTGACCTGTTAACAGTATCTTCAGGTGCCAAAAATTTACCAGTCTGGATTGAAAAATATCTTCGAAAAGTCTGAAAATAAGTTGAAACATTTTATTTATGTCAAAAAATGTTATATTTGTTTAAATTTCTAAAATAAAGTGTTTATATCAGATTAGTGAAGAATATTTGAGTTATGAGTGTCAAACTATCTGTTCACCAAGAAATATTTGAGTACTTACTATTGGCTGTCTTTTATTTGTCTCTGTTCTTAAAAATGTGAATTGAATGTATGAAATTTAGAGTAGGCTTTCATTTTAGAAGAGGTTAGCTTTTATCTTTGAATAGTAACCTGTTAATGCCCCTTTTTTGGAATCCTGCAGTAGTGTCTGCTTGTGGTTGGTAAGGCACCACCCTAGCCAGTGAGTCAGAGTGTCTGGGGAAGCGGGTGGGGGGACAGGTAGGTTGCTTCTTGTTTTCTGTCTTGCTTGTCTCAGTTGCTCTAGGCCTTTTCTCAAGGAGCTTGCTATTTTGCTTATTGTTTCCAGCACTATACCTAATAGGAGCTCAATATTTATTAAGTGAATGTACATACTCTTTCTGTAGAGTCCTCTGGGGAGGCCTAGGTGGGTTTGGGAAAGGTCAAGAAATTGTAAATTTGAACTTTTGTGTAGCCCCATTCTAAGCACCAGGGAATTGGGCTTGTGGTAATGATATGTGGGCATATTGTAGATTCATTAAACATCATAAAAAAGGTTTGTTTATATGTTAGCTGTTTTCTCTTTATAGTAGATTATTTAATCTGACAACTATTAGTTGGACAGTGTCATCTTCAGGGTTGTTTTGGCCTGGATTACAACTCAGGTTAGGATTGATACAAAGTAATTTAAGATGGAAAGAATAAAGAGGCCTATCATATTTCAGGATGATGGATAGACTTAATTATTACCATATGTCATTTCTTTCCAGGTTGACATATAGACCTTGTTTCTAATCTTAAAAAAAAAAAAAAAATGTTGTTTTTTTTTTTTTAAACTTGGTACAGTTATTTTGTAGTTTACCTGGTTGGATAAGGATATGATATAGGTGATTGTATAAGTAACACAGGGATGGGAAATGGGATACCTTTTTTTTTTTTTTAATTAATTGCTTTTTAAGCCTCCTCTCCCTGCCAAGCATATATTTCATTATATATTTTAAATGCAGTATTTCAGAGCTTCATAAAATAATTTTCTGTGTGGGTATGCCACCAACTGGGTACCATCTGCAGGACTGTGTTCTTTTATTACCTGAGTAATCCAGATAATAAAAGAAGAGGGAAAGCAGGTTGTTGTATTGATTTAAGACTGCACGATGAATAATGAACCCGTACGATGATACTGAAGGATCTGGCACAGAATTATTGAGGTAATATATTCTGTAATGTGGGCTAATAATTAGTGAAGGTAGTAAGGCTAAAACAAGAACAGTAGATTTAAAAAGTGAGTGAATGAGGGACAAGAAGGGCTTAGCAAGGTTAAAGGCCACAGAGCAGCAGAAAGATAGTAGTTGGTATTATAGAGCATTGAGTTTCCAAGATGATAAACTTCAGGGTGGGGATCAGTGTGTTGATGGGATTAGAAGGTTGGTATAAGGTATTGGAGTTGAGGTTCAAGAAAGTTTTGAGGATAGAGTTTGGCTTAGTGATTGTATTAGAGGCTCTCAGTTTTAGCTGCACATTAAAAATTACCTAGAGAACTCTTTTCTCTCTCTCTCTCTCTCTCTCTCTCTCTCTCTCTCTTGTACCATACCCAGAGCCTAGCAATGCTCTCCCATTGAGCCACATTCTCAGCCCCTTACAGAGCTCTGATACCATGCATAGGCCCCATTGCAGATAATTAAATCATCTCCATAGGTGGAATCTGGACATCATTGTTGTTTAAAAGTTCACCGTATGAGCCTTACACCCAGATTTAAGAAATACAGATGTAGGGCTGGAGTTGTGGCTCAGTGGTAGAGTTCTTGCCTAGCATGTTCGAGGCCCTGGGTTCGATCCTCAGTACCACATAAAAATAAATAAAGATATTGTGTCCAACTTAAAAAAAAAAAGATATATATATATATATATATCTTCTTTATATAAAGGCCGCAGAGCAGTAGAAAGATAGTAGTTAGTATTATAGAGTATATATATATATATATTTATATATTTTATTATATATTTTATATATATATATATATATATATATATATATATAAAACAAAAAAGAAAAAGAAATACAGATGTAGATCTGGGTGTGGTGGTGCATGCCTGTAATCCCAGTGGCTCAGGAGGCTGAGGCTGGAGAATTGCAAGTTTGAGACTAGCCTCAGCGATTTAGCAAGGCTCTAAGCAACTTAGTAAGACCCTTTTTCAAAACAAAAAAACAAAAAGGGCTGGGGATGTAGCTCAGTGGTAAAGTGCATGAGGGTTCAATCCCTAATACTAAACAAAACAAAACAAAACCCCCCAAATAAAGCAACAACAAAAAGAAATACAGATGTAGATGAAGATTGAAAACACTGATGATGGCAGGAATTGAGGTAAAGATGATCGAAATCCCTCATCCAAACAAAATCAGACATTTTCATTTAATACTATCTGTGTGTGTGTAAATATGAAACAGGTTTTTTTTCCCCCGGCACAATAGTTTCAACAGTAGAAAGCAGGTAGGGAGATGGTGTTTATATACAATTGCTTTTAGGATCAGATCAGGTATATTCAACTGTGTTTTCCTTATCTGGCTGCTTGGTTCTTTCTGGACAAGGAGGAGCCTAGGTTGCTTTTTTCTTTTCCAGATCACAGAACCTGTCCAGACTTTGTATAGGTTCTTCTCTCTCCTTTTTTTCTCTTTTAGTTCCAGTTGATTGGTGTTTGTGTTCTTCCAGTCACCTCCTAGTTTATTAACCTTTCTATATTCCCATATCCCATCTGCCCAGGATGCAGGTATACTTTTCTTATGATGAACTTGGCCTTATCTTGGTTAGTAATTTAAACCTTCTTCTTCCTCTCAATACCTTATGCCTTATGAAGGCTTTTAGAAATTATCTGTTTGTTTTCTGTGTTTACATTTTAGTTCAATAAAGCATCAGTTCTTATTCTCTTTTTGTTTTGTTAGTGGCCTGGTAAAGTTTATAGATCTCTTCTCAGAATAATGTTTTTAAATCTAGAAAATAGAAAGGCATATATTAAAGGAAACTACTTACATTTGAATGTAAGGATTAAACCATGAAAAACCTAATTTTGTGTTACAGTATTAGTTAGTAGGTTTTTTAGCTTCCCATTACTATAACAAACACCTGACATAATCAACTTCGTTTACACTTTGGGAGTTTTTAGTCCAAGATGGATTGGTCCTTTGGTGAGGTAGCATATCATGACAGGCTTTGGGTGTGGCAGAGCAAAACCATTCACTTCAAGACCAGGGAGGAAAAAAATAAAACAAAACCAGGAAGGGACTAGGGTCCCACTATCCTTTTCTAGAACATGACTCTAGTGACCTAAAAGACTTCCCAATAAGACTTACCTCCTAAAGGCTCCACCATCTCCCATTTATCTCTCTCAGGGGAGCAAACCTTTACCATGTAGACCTTTGGGAGACACTTAAGGCCCAAACTATAGTTGTAGGTCATTAAATATCAAGAGCTACCTTTGGGGGCTTCATTACTATAATTTCAAAATAGAGTATAAATCAGACTTTGAATATCTGTAACAACAAACTATAACATGAAAATATTTTATGTCTTTTGGGGACAAATTCACCAGATAAGCTATAGTTGTTGGGTTGTTTGGTTCATATATTTAGATTGAAATTTAAATGGACTTGCTGAATCCCTGGCTTAAAGTGTTTGACACCAGAAATAAAATATAAATAAAATTATGATTTCTGGCTTTGTTTTCATAATATGTTATTTAAGTTTTCAAATCTTTGCTTACAGGACAGAGACCATCTAATATTATTTAAAAACCCATATTGAGGGCTGGAGACATAGTTCTGTGGTAGAGTGCTTACCTAGCCTGTGCAGAGTATAAAGAACAAATGAAAAAAAAAAACCCTCATACTGCTTGGGAGTGGTGGTTTAGGCCTGTAATCCCAGAAATTTGGGAGGCTGAGGCAGGAGGATTACAAATTTGAGGCCAGCCTTGGCAACTTAGTGAGACTTTGTCTAAAAATAAATAGATTAGATAGACAGCTGGGATGTAGCTCGAGAAGTCCATTGCCCCTGGGCTTATACCCCTGGTAACAAACAAACAAATATGAAACAAAACAAAACAACTACCATATTGACATGTAAGAATATTCATAAGCAGCATTATTCATAACAGCTTCAAACTGTCAACAGTGCAGATGTCCAACAGTAGGTGGATTAAATTATACAGCACTGGGAATAAATGGGCTATTGCTAGAGACCAAAACACAGATGAACCTTTCAGACATAATATTGAACAAAAGAAGCTAGACACAAAAGTATATCCTGTGTGTTTCCTTTTATATGAAATTGTCAAACAGGCAAAAGTAGCTAGAAAAATGGTTATTTGGGGAGGAAGAGGTACCAAGAGAGCACAGGATGGATTTTGCTGTGCTGGAAGTGTTCAGTGTCCTGATCTGGGTGGTAATTATACAGTAATTTTATCTTGGGAAAATTCATGCAACAGTACATCTATTATTTGCATACTTCTTGTAAGAATGTCATATCTCAATAAGTTTAAAGTTTTGGAAAGGCAGCATATATTTTTCTAAGTATAAAGTTTTAGCTAATTCTTTAAAAAGTGAGCACCCACTATCATTAGTTCTTGGGATGAGGGAATGTGATGCTCTAATTTTATTTTCTATTTGAATTCCTAGCAAAAAGCAACTTTACTGTATTCTTTATCTTTTTCATGCTACACCCTTTGCCCTATTTGTTTCTGGTTCTTAAACACTGAAAAATGTATTTGATGT